TCAGGTGTTCAAGCCAGATGAGAAAAATGGGATGGAAATACAGAATCAAGTTGACGCCCTGCTGGACAGACAGAAGCGGGACAGCCAGCCAATTGTGCCAAAGACGCCCTCCTCTCGGTAGCTATGAGTCCTCGTGTTATGGTTCAAAATAAAGAACAAGTTACCACCTTAGTGACTTTTCCCAATGCTCTCAAAGACAGAGGGCTGACCCAGAGTTTGGAGACATGATCAGCTCGGAGGAGGCGTGTAAATGTGACAACGTGGACGAGGATTGTTGTTTCAGTGTCTTCGTTTCCTACATCGAGATCTACAACAACTACATCTACGATCTCTTGGAAGATGCTCCCTACGACCCAATCAGACCAAGGTAAGCGAGTGGATTTTCTCCCACGATAAGTAGTTGGTCAATAAGATAAATAATAATTTTTCCCTTCCTCATTTGTCAGTGAACTTGTTAGTCGTAGAATTCTCTGTTTCCCTGTGGTCAGTGAGGCTGGTCTGGCCTCTGACCTGGAGTTCAGTGTGTGTAAATTACGTTTTTATTTTTTTCATTTGTATTGTTAAGCGTTTGATAAATGTGCAGAGTGAACAGTGATGACAATAATGCTGTTGTCACCTGGTTGATTTGTTGTATAAAAGTGCATTTTTACAAAGTAAATCCTTCTCTGCTAGGTGGCTCAGCGGAGGTACACCTGTACAGAACAATCAGTTCACGTATGTGACCAGTACAAGAACATGATTTTTAGTACTTTGTTAATTCATAGATGCAACGTCACGTCTTGTGGGTCAACAGTGTTTCCATCCCATTAATCCAGAGCATTAAAAACGGCCTGCGTTAACGCCCCTGTGTTCTGCTGTCGGCTGTTGTCTTCAGTCCTATTTGGCTTTTAGTTTGGAGGCTGAAACATCTGTGACTGGCTGAAGCTTCTCTGTGTCTGTGACTGTCATTGTCTGTTCTTGTCTCTGTCTGTGTCCCGCCATGTGTTTGACTGCGTCTCCTAGTCGACACTAACAACAAGCAGTTGTCGTTGTAACTTAACATTGCATTTCAGTGTTGGTGTATGAACATAGTTTTTAAATTCATTCTTTTTTTCCAGACCACCTCAGTCCAAAATTCTCCGCGAGGATCAGAACCACAACATGTATGTGGCTGGCTGCACCGAAGTGGAGGTGAAGTCCACAGAAGAGGCTTTTGAAGTCTTTTGGAAGGGTGAGTTGAAAATGGTTTCTCTCTGATCTGTCTGTTTTCTTTCTTTCCTTTTTTCTTTCATTCATTCGTTGGTTTTGGTCTTTTTTGGTTACAGACAAATGGCTCTTTGTTCAGTGATGATTTTTCAATGATTTTTTATTTATTTATTTATTTTTATCTGAGTACCTCTTTTCGTGGATTTCTGACTCAATTTTTCTAGGGCAAAAGAAAAGGAGAATAGCTAACACTCAACTCAACCGTGAATCCAGTCGCTCACACAGTGTGTTCGTCATCAAGTTGGCTCAGGCCCCACTGGACGCTGACGGGGACCACATCCTACAGGTGGAGCAACCAATTGTTTCATTTCAACTTTATGCTTTTTTTGGGGCAGGGAGGGGTTTGTGTATAGACTACTTTTTCTACATTTTTTGCTACATATTAAGAACTGCATGTTGTTAAAATGCAGGACAAAAGTCAGGTGAATGTCAGTCAGCTGTGTCTGGTGGACCTGGCCGGCAGTGAACGCACCAGCAGAACCAAAGCTGAAGGAAGTCGCCTCCGTGAAGCAGGTCAGTTTTTTCTCTTTTCGTGGGATCAATGGTTTTCAGACACACAAACATTAGTGTTTGGTGGGGTCACAGATAGTGTGGGTGTGTTGCCTTGACATGCAATTCACTTGAACGTCTGTACAAACACAGTTTGAAAAGCAGAACTCTCTTCTGTCACACCAATGACCTGCACTTTTAGGAATATTTGATTACATTTACACAGATGTGTCAAAAAAAAAAACATCCAAAGACTGGATTAGAACCAAACTGTGGTACAGTAGGTTCAACCTTTGCGTACAGTGTTGACACAGTTGTAACCTGTTGCATTTGTCATTTCTGTCTTATTAACAGGTAATATAAACCAGTCCTTAATGACACTACGTACATGTATGGAAGTCCTGCGTGAAAACCAAATGTATGGAACTAACAAGGTATACATTTAAGTTTCATGTATATTTCATAGTTTCGATATCAAATTCAAAATGTTTTTATATGTTTTCAGTCTTATTTCCATGTTTTGCCCTTTTTTCCTCCAGATGGTTCCGTACAGAGACTCTAAAATCACTCACCTTTTTAAAAACTACTTTGATGGTGAGGGGAAAGTCCGAATGATAGTCTGTGTCAATCCAAAGGCAGATGATTATGAAGAAACTATGGTGAGACATGGACAGATCTTTGTCTGCATGTTATTTTGTTAAAAAAAAAAGCTTTTATACTTAATGTAAGAGGAAACGTTTCTATTTTTTTTCTCTCTATAAAACCTTAAACTAAAATGTAGCGTCCTGGTGATGAATTAACTTCCTTGTTCTGTTTTGGTTTGTTCCAAAAAAAACCACATTTTCACTTTTTTTTTTAAAAAAAAGAAAAGAAGAAGAATAACAATGTTTAAATTCTTTCTTGTGCCGCAGCTGGTGATGCGTTTCGCAGAGATGACCCAGGAGGTGGAGGTGGCACGGCCCGTGGACCGGCCAATCTGCTTCCTCGCCGCAGGTCGTCGGCACAGAAACCAAGCCTTCAAAGATGAGCTGTCACGAAGACTGGAGGAGCGCGGCGGTCCTATCTCTGGTACTGTACGCTTTAGTCAGAACTGCAAGGTCACTGTGATGCTGCATAGTCTCTTCTAAGGCTTGTTTTTTTTTTCCACACAATAGACGATCCAGTTCTGCTGAATCAGCTCGTGGAAAGTCTTCCACAGCTGCCTCCGTGTGAGCTGGTGGATCCATCTGATGATCAGACGCTGTCTCGGCTGATTGAAGTGCTGGAAAAGAGGCACTGTGCACGTCAGTTGATAACAGAGCAGTTCAACAAGACTGGTATGAACTTTTTTTTTTCTTCACCACCGAAATCTTTTGTTCCTCAATAGTCAGTGAATTATCCAAGAATATATTTAATACAATGATAATTAAGACTTTTCAATAATGTAACAATATCTTGAACTTCTTATTTTCTCTAGCTAATAAACTGAAGTCTATGCTGCAGCAGTTTGACGGTCAGCTCGGTGCCAGGGAGACTTTCCTGCACGATCAGCAAAGCAAACTGAGTGAGAAAGAAAAAGTCATCATTGGCCAGAAGACGGAAATTGAACGACTGGAGAAAAAGTCCAAGATGCTGGAGTACAAGGTGCAGAGAGAGAGAAGACAGTTCTGTTCTACAGGAAATGCACCACTGTGTCTGCTTTTCTCACCTCACCGACTCGTTTCCATCTCCTTCAGATCGACGTCTTGCAGAAGACCACGGACATGTATGAGCACGACAAACGCTCACTCCAGCAGGAGCTGGAGACCCGAGAGCAGCGGCTGCAGCGTGAGCTTTCTGAGAGGAGGCGCATGGAGCAGCGCATGCAGTGCATGGTGACGGACGCCAAACTCAAGTGGGAGAAAGAATGTGTAAGTAGTAACTGATGATGAGATACTACAAGTATTCCAAAAGTTTAGTTGAGTACAGAGCACGATGTTACGATTGTTTAAAGTCAACTTTCTGTTGTCCTGAAGTCTATAAGTACTGTGTTTAAAGTGCTGTAAGGTTTGAGTTTTGTCCTACAGGATCACAAATAAATAAACCAACGTTCTCCTGGTGTTTCAGGAAAGGCAAGTGAACGCCAAGCAGCTGGAGATGCAGAACAAGTTGTGGGTGAAGGATGAAAAGTTAAAGCAGCTCAAGGCCATCGTAATAGAAAGCAGCAGTAGCAGCGGTGCTGCTGGTGGTGGTGGGGGCGGGGGAGGTGTGCCTCAACGTTCAGAGGCCCCAGAAAGACCCCCAAGGGAGAGAGACCGCAGCATGGCCCAGAAGAGAACTCCATCCCCGCTCTCTGTGAGTTACCGACCCTCTCATTCGTACTGTTCCTGGTTTCTCTCTGTGAAATCTTTTTTTGCATGTCACCAATAACTGCGATCGTCATGTGATTCCTTTAACGCTGTGTACAGCTGTGCTCTGATGTCACACTTTACTCTGTGTTAATGCGGAGTCACTGCTAACAGTCACACTGCTTGGCCCCATTTACTCATCACTTTCAGGACTGGACTGTGTCCCACCAAAATCCAGCCAGTGTTAGGGCAGGTCAGGATCCCAACTCTTCCTCCTCAGTGTACCGCTCAGTGGCCTCCTCTATATCACAGTGGGAGCAGAGGTTTCCCGTAGACACAGACAGCCAGGGCAAATACCCCAGCACTCCACAGTACGGGAGCAAAACTCCTGGCCCGTACCACGGCACCAGCAGCGTGGGTCGCAGGAGGGCCAAGCTCTGGGCCCCAGACACTGAGGCTCCGACTCTGGTCAATGGGCTGGACCTAGAGGCAGGCACCAGGGTTAGTGTGTTAGACTGGTTCGTCAGCAGTGTTAGACTCTGTTGTGTTGTATTTTTGTTTGTTTGAATAGAAGTGCATTCAGTAGAAACCCTGCATCTGAACAGTTAGTTAGTTCAATCTATTTGAAGGCTTAACTAACTTAACTAGTTTAGTTCAATCTAGTTGAAGGCTTAACTAACTTAACTAGTTTGACTTGTTCACTCTTACATTTGCTTGCATTTTACAAGGAGTGGTTCACATGCAGTATCTTTCAAACCTCCATCTTACCTTTAATTTACATAACACTTACCAAATACCAAGCAATACCAATACAACAGCTGGGGGGGGGGGGGGGGGGTGGGGTGGGGGGGCAGACCTTATCAAAAAAGAACAAAAATGTTTTGGTCTAAAACGTCCTCCTAATCAAATTTTATACTTTTAAAATATCTAATCTTACATCATTCATCCGAACACCGACCTCTGGTGGTGGCCGTCAGGTTCAACACCATTGTATGTTATGTTTAGGTTTGACTCTACAGGTTTTATTTATTCATTTATTTAGTCAGAGATGCTCCATGTGAACAGCTCCCACCCATGTTCATGTTCATGTTCATGTTCATGTTCATCGCGCTTCTACCTGTTTGTTGCTGTGCTTTTCTCTCTGCAGTTTTATCACACATCACATTAGAACACATTCAGATAAAAAGACAACACCCGACACCTCAGAGTATTTATGTCTAATGTCAACTTCATGGTGTTTTCTTTTCTATTTAAGTTGAATTGGATTAGATCTTTTTTTTAATCCTACAAAAATCCTACATTCTACAATTTATTATTTTATATTATTAGTATTTTAGAAATGTTAGATCATCTTTAAACATTAGCCATCATAGGAAATAATGGTATAGTTTATAAGCAGAATGTTTTTAAAAGTTTGGTACATATATATTTACTGACTACTCTGTCATTTGTTCAATGCTTCACTGTTGTCTTTGGTCACATGACTAATGGGCTGTTTGCATGCTAGAACTTATTCACCACTGATACTTTCATTGCACCAAGAGTTTTAGCTGAAAATAATGTATTGCTGGGAAATTGTCAATTTGAATGTTTTTGTGTTTTCATTGGAGTGTTCTGTTAAAGAGCTTCAGTCAAAAAGATTTAAGACAGATGTCGTCATTTTTAGCCAAAATAAACATGTTAAGACAGACTCCAACAAGTTTGAAAATTGGAGCAAATTTCAAACATAAACCAAACCCAAAAACAAATCTTGGAAACTGAAAAAAACATTTGAAATAAAAAAAAAAAAAAGATTTCAGTCCATAGTTGGGTCGAAGAAGCAGGTTGTGACTTTATGACCTTTTCATTTTTCTCCATAAATTCCATCACCCCGACACACCAGCAGTACATGTTTTCAGCTCAGTCTGTTGTGTTCTGATGATCAGCCTTTCCAATCAAACCCACTGTCATTGAATGTGAGTAACTTTCTGATTTGTCTTCCTCACCCTGGGGTCACCAGACTGCTCTTCCAGTTCATCCCATGCACAGGCGTTCACACTCTGCGGGTGGGGAGAAGTGGGTAGACCACAAACCAACCTCTAATTTGGAGTTAGACACTGTCATGCAGCCAATCATACCCAATGCAGTCAAGGTGTCGACCCCTAACGAGAAAGCTCTGTCCAAGTGCAACATGTATGTGCTTAGACACCAGGAGCTAGCCTCTGACGGGGAGATCGAGACCAAACTGTTCAAGGTAAAATGGAATAATCACAGCATTAATATTGATCATAATAATAATAATAATTTAGCACTTTTTTTCCACCACTCTGTCTTTCATTTCTTAACTTGACTCTCATCTGATTGTAACCAAACGTGGAGCCCTTTTAAAACAATAAGAGATGAGAGCGTTTTGATCTTGAACATTTTTCCTGTATTTTCCCCGTCTTCTGACACGTCCACAGGGAAATGTCTTCAAGACCAGGGCTGGAGGACAGGCCGTGCACTTTACTGACGTTGAAACACTGAGACAGGAGTGTCCAACGGCATCGAGGTACAGTATCAGCTGGGTGTCACAGAGTGTGTCTGTGTCTTCATAGTTGTTGTTTTTTTTACCTTTGTTTTCTTCATTATTGAAGTTGTGTATCTGTGTCTGTAACGTCACTTTAAGATGAACACTCTGAGATCAAGTTGTGTAGAAGTTGAAGTCTGCTGAAGAATCCTCCATGCTAAGGTCACTTTCTTTTTGTTTCAGTCGTAAACGGCGTTCAGGGTCTGCAGAAAGACCAGTCCAGACGGACGACATCGAAAACAGAGTAAGATTTTAATTGGACGGAAAAAACTCCAGTCTGTCTGTTTTTATAATATACAGTAATGTGGGATCTGTGTCAGTCTGGGAACAGTGTTTGTTGTTCAATCATTGATCAGTTCCTCTGTTAATCTATTTCATTTTTATTCTGTTTTTTTTCTCCTCATCAGCCCCCACTAATGAGCACCAGTTACAGCAACCAAAAGTAAGCATTAAAAAAAAAAACACACATGTTGATGATGTAGGTCTTACACGAACGATGGATGAAGTCCTGGAGTGAGACTCAGATTAGCTGAGCTGGTTGGATAGAAGTGTCAGGACCTCAGTCTGCCATTGGTCAATGAGTCAGTCTCTGCCTTTTTAGGCATTTCCGTTGCCAACGTTTCCCTCCTTTATGTCCCAAAGAGATCAATGAAGTTGAATTTAATCTACTTTGATCCCATTTCTGTAAAGATAACAAATAAGAAACTCCTAAAAGTGTCGTTCAGTTGTTTCCTCAGACTTAACTACAAAACCTTGTTTTGCAACCTTCATTTCTCATACACAGTCTGTACTGCAGTATTTATAATATTCCGACCAATTACTTTTTCACCTTGTCCTATTTTTAAAAAATCTTTCCTTTCTCTCCCAGGCGCAGAAAGCCGTGATTTCCTGGACAAACGAAGGATCTTTTTTCCTCTTTTTAAAAGTTTGTATTTACTGCTCGAACCTCCGACTGAATCTATGCAGCTTTTTCCTCTGTATATTTATCATTTTTGAGAGTGAGCAGTTTAGTATTCTGTCCTCAGTTTGTGATACTCGACCTTTAAATGCTGGATGTAATGCAGTTTTTTTTTAAAGATATGGATGATGTGAAAATATTGTGATACTTTTAAATATTGATCATTTAACGTGGTCAGCTTCAGTGACCTCAGCCCAAAGATGAGAATTTTTTTTTTAAATTACTTTGCTTTATTTAGTGGGTGTAACAGAACATAAGAACTGGTTACGACCGGTAGTGAATATAACACTTTAGATGAAGCTCTAAATAAAAAGTAAAAAAGTAGGGTTTTTTTTTTTTTTGTAAATTTGTGACCTTAGTCTTTTGTTATTGCCACATTTTTTTGTTTTTTTCTTTTATTTGTGTTCGTTATATTTGCCACATTTGTATGTACTACTCTTTTTTTTTTTTTGGTGGCAGTAAATAAATCCCAACCATTTATCTGAAGTCATGAGGACGTTAATGTACAGTGTAATTTAAAGATCAGGAGTGGTTTAAAAAAAAAGGTGCTGACAATAAAAACAATCCAATCATAACATGGTCTATAATCCGAGCTCTGTCGGTGAGTCTGGCAGATTCACACATATTTCTTTAGTTTAAGGAAAAAAGATATGCGGGTTGTGTGTGTGTGTGTGTGTGTGTGTGTGTGTGTTGTCCTTTGATTGAGGCTTGAATTGATCCTAAAACGCTATTGTGTAAAAGCTCCATTGAACAGAGATGATTTTTTTTTCAACTGTAATTTGCGAGGAACACTAATATTTCTTATGCAGTTTATGTTAAAAACAGTAGAGGGAGCCAAATACCTCTCATTTTACAGGAACGGTTTGATATTGTCTATATACAGTATGTATATAAGCGCACATATATAGACTAATTGATGCACATGTGTATGCGTGTGTACATATACTGTATATGTAGCAGAAAGTCCTGGGTTCGTTTCCCAGAGGGACCGCATGCATAGCGCCTGATGGAGGCAGCCTGTCAACGCATGCGTAGCGCCTGATGGAGGCAGCCTGTCAACCGCTAATCTGCTGTTAACACAATGATTTCACAAATTGTCAAACGATGGGATCAAAGTTAATTTTTTTACTGTATTTTTACATTTATATTTATTTACTGACACTATTTTAAATTATTATTCTGTGATACTTTAGACTGACCAAAGTCTTGGATCTGTCGATCTGGTCTGTTTGAGTGGAAACACAGGATGTCTCTGGTTTGTCGTTGAAGCCACGGCT